GGTGGGCTGCAACGATTTAAATAGAAAGGCGAGGGTGCTTGAAACGGCGCTCACCCTGAGCCATGTTAGCAGTCACCCTCGAAAGTGGCCGCGCCTGGTACATAAAGCTCGTCTCCAACCCCTCCGTTCGAATTACCATCTCTGCCCTAAATCATCCTGAACGCGCAACAAGCACCCTATCGTGATGGAGTCTCTCCGATTCACCGAGAGAGAGACTCGTCTGGCGGCTGAGAGACGCCTCAAATTCCAAGGAACCGCCAGAGTCGATCTAGATCAAATTTTTTTCGATCCTCAGTCGTCTCGACAGCTAGACCACAAGAATGGTGATCGCTTATGCAGGATTTTCCAAGAAGAGGGATGCCAGAGCATGGCTCTGGCACACCGTGTACCTGCAGCTGTATCGCGGCAGAATCTGGCGGCTGCCCTGCGGAGGGCGAACGTCGGTGCACGTGAATTGCTGACAAACCCGGAACCGGAGATGCCTCGTCTCTGCTTCCCACCAGGGCAACTACAGGGGCTACATGGACGACACCGAATCGCAGCCGGGCTGGAGGTCTTGTCGCCTGCCCACCGCTGGTGGGTCGTTGACGTTTATTCGGACGGTAAGGTTTCTTAGGCTGGTAGCCGCGAGGAGGTCTGACCGTTGCCCGCTGTAGATATCGGGGACGACCTGAAGACATCTCTCATCGAAGAATATTCCAACGAGATGCCCCCGAGCGATGGAGAAATCTACCGCCGAATCCGCCAGTATGCAAACGACGGAAATCTCCACGGAGAGCTGCGGTGGAAGGCTCGGCTGTGTTCGAACAGCCAAACCCGTCTGCAGTCGCTGTTTAAGAATACTCGCCTCAGACATGCCTTTGACGGCGTGCTTGGAATACCAGGACACCGGAATGCAATGCGGATCAGCATGCTCCATCGAGTCATGGCGGTCAGTTGTGACGAGGTTGGTTCCCACCCGGCATCATCCGTTCCCCATATTAACGTCGGCAGGAAATTGCCCATTACTTGAATTACGTGAAGGATTTCTGGTTCTCTCTCGTCGACGACGATCCAGCGTCGGTGGCGAAGATTGACCAGCATACGGTCGAGACGCTCCAGTTGATGGTGCCGCGCTCCGAAGCCAAAGTGGTGCGCGGTCTTGTGACCAGTGGTCAGATCTTCACCGACTTTGATGAAGACGAAAGAGATGCTATCTGGGAGAAGCTGCGGTCGTTCGGCGCCCTGGTTCCATCCCTGAATTCTTTCTTCGAAGACTTCAAGTGTTTCGAAAGCTGGGCCCACTGTCTGACAAGACTGTTCACCCTGGGGAAGTCCACTGTACGTCAGACGATGGACGGCTTATGGACAACGTGCAGCGACGGCGGTGACATGTGCCCGGTTCAGACCTCCGAGTCCGCCTTCGACGGTCGGCGTGAGCCTGTTGGGAGGCAGTTTGATCTTGCCTATCGGCAGATGTGGCTGTACGCCATGCGCCATTATCCACAGATGCCTCGCGACCCAAAACGCAAAAATCGGCTGGCCAAGGCGCGGAACGCGACCGCGGATGAGTGTGTCGTGTCCGATATGGCGTCCCTCGCTCGT